ATGTGCACAGACACATACAAAAAAAAAAAAAAAAAAACTCCCACACCACGCAAAAACCTTCCTCTTCATCCATCACCTACAGTTTCCTTGCTCAATAGTTCCACCATCTAATCGGCATTGTGTCCTTCTGAAATTCCCCCTTGGAGTTCACGCAAATGTAAGTACGCCTTGTTGCCGACGTAAGCGAATACGCTGCGCAAAGGCATCCCAGACCGCAAAATGCACACAATGCATACACGTGATTCAGGGAATTCTGCATGGTCCGTTGTCCACGTGCAAAAGTGTTTTCCTCATGCCCCATTGGTTCTTTAATCAGCTGATGCCCAAATCGGCGGCAGGAACGACGAAACATGGCTCGCACAATTTCTCCCTAATCCTATTTTCTCTGTTCGTATCGCTTTGTTTTTCCCCCTTCAATAATAAAAAATAATAATAATAATAATAATAATAATGAAATTTTCAGCAATCACAAACAATTAAAAAAAGAACAACAACAACGGCAATAAATTTCAAGAGAAATGTGTCAGTTGGCCTGTCCTTCGTTTCACTTCGCTAAGACAATGGCGGTTGAAAACCAGAAGGGAGGGGGGGGGGGAGGGGGGAAAAAAATCAGATGGAGAAAAGGAGGAGGACAATATATATATATAATAATAAAAAAGACAACTAAGAGAGAGAGAAAGAAAGATCTAATCCCCATCAGAATCAGTCGGTTTTTGTATTTTTTTTTTTTTTTCCTTTTTTTTTATATTAATTATTATTCGAGATCCTCCTCGGAGTTAAATCTTCTTCTTATTTGTGCCTTCTTTTTTTTTTTTTTTTTTTACGCACGTGCACAAACAGAAAGAAAAGAGGGGCAACGGGAGAAAATGAACAACACTGAGAAGATTAATTTCACAGATGAAAAGTAAAAAAAAAAAAAACTCTCTTTTTCTCTTTCTTTTTCTGATTTTTTTTTTTTTTCTTTTCTTCTTCCTTTTTGAAAAGTAGACATGTCCTTTGACTCCTCACTCGCCCTTATTTGTTTCATGGACTGCTCTTGTTAGTTGCTCCATCACAGCCGGCCAAAGGGCCAACGGCAAGCGTCGCTCAATTTTAAAGTATCCCGATGGTGTCAATCCTGGGTTTTTGAGCTGTCTATAAAGCTTCTCCTTCTCAGGTGTGGAGAGGGGAAGAGTAGTCGGTACAGGTGTGGGTGCAGGTGCGGGAGCTGCCGTTTGCCGCAACTGGATAAAGAATTCATCGTCATCGCCGCCAAGAAGATCAACCCAACGCACAGGCTGATCAGGTTTATCTTGGTCTTCCTTAGTTACTGGATTCAGCTCCGCGTGTCGTTGGAGGGCATAGAGTTTGGCCTTCTTTGGAAGCGCCTGGTACTCCTCCTCAAGAAGTTTAAGTAGTGGTTTAATGTCCATCTCCCTTTTCGCAAAGGTAAGGTTGTCCTCCATGTTCACAATGATGGCCAGTAATGTGGGGTAGAGAATGTGACATGCCGAGGTGAAGTACTGCAATGGTAGAGCAGAAAGAATTCTAGAGAGCAATGATTTACCCTTCCCCCAGGCAAACATACCTTGGATCTGCTTGTCCTGCACACAAAGGTAGCCGATAAGGAGGAGACATTCGTGGAGTGCCGCCCGCAGGTAGTACGGTGGGCGAGACGGCGTCATTGTTAACCCTGCTGTAGAACTATTGGAGGGCTGCGAAGCCGGAAGTGGTGGTATTTGCGCCAAAGTCACACCAAACTTTAATGCACTTTCAAAGGACCCACGCACACCTTCGTCAACGGTATTATCCCCTGGAATAGTTTCAAGCAGATCGGCGTGAGTCTGAACATATGTAAAGAATCCACTAAGCACGTGAAAAATCTCCGTTAGTGTAATCACATTTGGTGTTTTTTCCGACACAACCTTCGGATCTACGTGAATATTTGATCCTCCCTTCTCAATAGAAGCGTCGTGTAGCAACTCCTGTAAAATATCCAGCCTCCAACGTGCAAGGGAGTTCAAGACTCGGAAAACAATAAATATGATGGTGATGCGTCGTGCACTGAGTAACGTACTCGTCGCGCTCAAAGGGCATCCATCGGGGGTCAATATATTCTCAAGAAGAGTAAAGAATGCACATGCCACTTGTCGAAACCATACAGTGGGACAATCGCCCTTCTTTTTACTCAAAATGGAAACCTGAGAATGTATAAGCCGTGTCGCACTGTAGACAACCTCTAAATCTTCCTCTTCTGTACATGCCCGTGTGACTGCGACACAGTACCTATCGATTCCTGCCGCATCCAGATCGGCCAACAACTGGTCCCTCACCGTAATAAGTTTGACATTCGTCTGAGCATCTATGGCAATACGTTCAAAACAAAGTTGTAATATTTCAAGTGAGGCTGCAAGTGGAATAGAGTGACTGTGACGCTTTAGGCCTTTTATCTCATCACGGATGCAGAGTAAAAGCGGTGCAAGGTTGCCTGATCGAATAAACATCAGTACATGTTTTTTCCCCTCATTAGCATCAGTAAGAAAACGTATTAGCGCATTATGGGCCAAACGGAAAGTCACCATATCACTCGTCCGGCGAGAATCCATCAGAACGCGGGCAAAACTCTCATAACTGTTAAAATATCGTACATATTCATGATCTACATCCGCGAACTCCGTCATGCCCAGCAGGTCATGAAGCGATTGACGACATTGAACCAATGAAGCGGATGATGTGTTTGAGCCAAGACGACTGATAATAGACCGCAATTTGCTCCGATTCAAATCCTTTGCGCTCATTGTGCTTTCCTTCTGGTAAATTTCCATATAACTCTTCCCTTGGCGCGCAGTAACAGCCACAACTTTCGCCAATTTCTGTGCCAATTGCTCCTCTTCTTGCGATGAGATGAATGGCATAAGCTCCTTGATGGTGGGCTTGGTATCCGCCTCACGCTCCTTGCGCTGACGAGCCTCTTTTATTTTCTGCTCTTGTTTCTCAAGCTTCTGGCGCAACATCTCTCTCTTCTCTTCACGTAGATGTACACTTTGTTGAATACGTTCCTCAACCTTCCGACCGCGTGCCTCTGCCTCGGCGCACGCATCTCGTTGCCGTTGTTGCACCTTCTTTTCCCATTCTTCAGCCCGCTGCTCCTTCAAATCCTTTTCAAGTTTTTTCTGCTCCTCATGGCGTCTGAGATTCTCTCGTCGTTGCTGCTCACGCTGCTGTTGCCGCTCAATGCGCTCTTGGCTGAGATTACGTCGTCGCTCTGCGACGGCCAGCATGGCCTCATTCCGCTCCTGCGCATGCCGCTGAAGCTCTTCCCGCTTCTGTTCTTGGTTGTGTTCAACCTCCGACATCTTGCGATCAAGCAGAAGAGCTTTTGTTTGATTTCGCAGCTCGTAGTTCAGTCGCACCTCTTCCACCCGTGAATGGCCCCTTCTGGCGCGCTCCTTCGTCTGCTCTCGTGCCTCCTCGACACGGCGAGCCCCGTTTTCGTGTCGCTCAAGCGTGTCATTCCTCAGCCGCTCCTCAGCCTGCGTGCGGCGTTGCTTCGCCTGAAAACTTCTTTCCCCCGCAGCCACAAGTTTCGACTTCATCTCTTGTAACTTTTCCAGCCGCCGCTCCTCAGCCTTGCGTTGCCGCTCCTCGCTGCGGAGAGCCGAAGCCTGCCGAGCCGCCTCAATCCCGTCGCGTCGCTGGTACTCACTCTCCATTCTTTTCGGAGAAACTTTTTTGCTGTTTGGTGAGCACAGATGCTGCCGCCTCGACGACAACGCGGCATCACTCTCAGCATGATCACCGTCGCCCACCTCGCGATTCGTCGGCGAAGCCCCACTCAGGCGACTGGAGTTCAAGTTCAGTTGCCGACGGCCATCAATCCTTCGGCCAACTTTAATGGTTTTAAAAGCCCGCAACCCCTCTTCCGTGATACTGATGCAGTCGTCCACCGAAAGCGCTTTTGCAGGGTTCTCTAAAGCCAACGCCACCTCATTAATAACGGCCTTCAGCTTCCCAAGGAGTTGGAATGCTGACAAGGGTGAGCTTTCCTTTGTATTCAAATACTGCGACTGTTGCCCACAATTTTCCTCCGTTATGGACTGCGTCTCAAAGGACCTTTCAGTACTGCGCTCACCACCCTTTTTTGCGTCCATCTTCCTTCAGAACAATCTT